TAGCATGAAGATTATTTCCATGCCCAGAGGTTCCTGTTGTGGATACTGAACACAGCCCCATACATAAAACATGCTTTGTTTGTCCACAGAATGTTATGCAAAAAGAGCTCTTCCAGAATGTGTTGATATTGTGGCCATTTGCCAAATTGCATCCATAGAGGATGGTTTGGTAACAGAAGTGCATTCTGTAAGTAGTGATATGGATGCAACTTATTGTCTTGAAGTGCTTCAATGTTCCTCAGTTTGGCAAGTCTTGAGTTATCATGTGATATCAGATGAGCTTCTCCATGTCCTACATTCCACAGCTGTAGTTACGGCATCTTCATTGGATGGTGTCCATACATACCTGCGTTCGCAAGTACCATAGGTGTTACAGTCCTTTTCTCATAGAGATGCTGCTCTAGTTGAAACACATTAGTGTCAGGATAACGTAGTGTGTATTCACATGTTGCAGCACCAACTCAGCTATTACAGGTGCCAAGGATTAAGAATATGTTGCAGTATTTGTTGTGTGTTTGTTCCATGATCATTCATTCACTTTTGTGTCTTGAGTACACCTAACAATGATTTATGTATCATCATGACAAATGACACTTCTGAGAAGTATGTTACCCCCATCTGATGGTGATGTGTATGTCAAAGTCTGACTGTCTGAGGGCATATGATGTATAACATTCTCAACTTTTTCTTTAAGGAATGACAATATAGAGGGCTTGTGTGCAAGTTTTGTTTCACTCTGTATAGCTTCAAATGGTACGATGATTAATGAATAATGGATTGGGAAGGATGTGGAAGGAGGCAGCCATGGCCTTGTTTGATATATCCTGGCATATGCATGGAGGGTTAAAATATCTAGAAAATGCCTCGGTAAAACTGAAAGTAAGAAAGTAAATGAATGACTCAAAAGTTGTGTTCTAGCTGGAATTTACTGGGCTCCTTCAATCTGAAACATTACTTCTTATGCTAACTTGCTTGGTGACATTCCATTCCATTTACAAATAAAAAGCCAATTGAGGTCCTGTGCATATCCTTCAGCCAGTTGAGCAGGAAGGACACTACTCACATATTACCCATAATACAGCAGGTGCTGGAAATGCTCTCAATTGTTCCATACGCATTTTTGGCATTTCCACAAAATGTTGATATTTGCATGTTGAAATTTTTCTTGGGAAACAGTTAATATTCCTCCAAATATTTTCTTCACTTCATCAGTTGTGTGGGGTGTGTAGTAACATAAAGGGACTTAATAGTAGCAGTTAAGACTAAGTTAATACTGTTAAAATGAATTGTATATATCAGGAGTGATTGGTTAAAATCAGTTAAACTAAGTTAAAAAGTCTTGCTGAGTAGATAGAAGGATGTGATGATGGCCATCATTGTATTGAATTAAGAGATCGTCATAGTCTGTACAGAACCATCTTCACAGTTTTATGTTGTATTTTTTCTTTAGAGATATTTGTGAGATTAGTGATATTAGGGAATGTTAGCATCCAGATACTTTTCCTATAGGAAAAATAATTTCCGTGACACGAGTTGGCATTTAAAGTGGAATGAGACATGAGCTTACATATATCCTGTCTCATTCCACTCGCTTGAAACAAATCAAGCGGTTATGCATCTTAAATCGACTGGTATGCCTTTCAGTGTTTGTATTTTCAAAATCCCCGTATCTAATTAATTCAAAGATCGCAAAATAAGTTAATGGCAAAAAATGGCCGTACAACTTTTGTATAGTTCAGACGCACCTGTAAGTAATAGATATCTCAGTTTGACTTTCATCCAGTGACATATCACAGTCACCAATTTTGTTAATCTCTTCCCAATAGGATTTTTGCAGTTGCCAAGTATGGCAGTGAATTAAAACAGTATGCTGCATGTGCATGGTCTCATAGTCCCTTGGACATGCTTTTGTACAATTGAGAGAAAGGAGGGGGGGATAACCCTCACTGTTGCAGAAAGCAGGTACTTTACAAAATGTTGCCAGGGATCCAGAGTGGCAAACATAAATTGAAGATATTTGTTTGGGAACTCAGTGCAGCAAAGTTTATTTGTACCTAAAAGAGATGAAATAACAGGAAAGAAGGAAAAAGAGACATAATGAGGAGTTTTGTAATTTATAATCTTCACCAAATGAAATTTTATCTGGGTGATCAAATAAAGGAATATGAGATTTACAGCAGTGTTTGCAAATTTTGGTCTCTTTTCCTTTTTCCAGGCTGTAAACCAAAGGATTCATATCTGCTTTATGCAATTTTCATCCCATCAGTGTTGCAGATCTTCTAGCAAGCCCTCAGAATAATATTTTGTTTATGTTTATAGATGTTGACTTTGCCACATCAAATGGCTGGGGATTTGTTTGCTAGCAAAACACCCATATGAAGACTAAAAGTTCCTTTTTATGGGCACTGTATGTAATTCATGTAACTTTTTTTCATTTCAAACACATCACACAATTGTGTTGATGGATGAACATATAATTTTTATGACATGGTGCTGTTCAGTTAGAAGGGTAGAATTTTGGTAAAGGAATGAAGTGAAAGTTGGAAATGTTGTTTACATTGATCATAAAGGGAGAGCAGGAAGGGCATGTAAGAAGTAGACAGGTACAGATATTTTTATTTGTGCAGACTGGTACATAAAGAACTAGTCGTTTTTCTGTGTGGCCAACAGAGAAAGGTTAAAATGTGTACCAGCGTGAACTGCAAGAAGGTGGACAAGCTCAAGATAGACAGGTGGCCAAGTTAAGTAGGGTTAGTCACGTGTACATTAATACAAAATTCAACCAGTTGTGGCAGATGACTAACCCAAAGAGGTAGCCAGTTTCACAGGCTTGACTGTATGTTGATTATATAAAGCATGTCAGTGTTTCAGTAGCATGTTACTTCTGAGAACATGTCTCAGCCCAGTATTCAATTTTTGTGAAGTGTTTTAATATTACTGCTTATGTGTTTTTTTAGATCATATCATTTCACATTTTTGGGACATGTATTTTGGCCAAATTTCCTGTCTGAACTGCTCTTTCCAGTACTTGGTGTTAGAAACGTATGTGACAGTAATTATGGAAGAGAAGTAACTGGAGAAGACTGAACAAACTAAGGCACAGGCAAATATTTATTTCCTCTAGCATTTGCTTGTTACAGTGCCAATCACTTGTACTTCTTTTATTCAACTCTTAATTGCCTCCTTAAATTTTGGAGCAAAATTGCCATCAATGGTTCACAAGCTAAGTTCACAGAGGTGAGAGAGGTTTTGAAAATGTCATGATCACTATTCTATTTTTTTTAGTAATCTGTCAGACATTAATTAATAATGATTAATAATTGTATTAATACAATTATTAAATTTGTGGACATTATCCAGTGTCCTGTTTTTTATTGTTATTTAAAAACAGTGTTTTGGAGACTAGACTGTCTCCATTCTCAGGTAAAATTATACTCTCGATATGGCTAGTCCTTATCTGAGGGCATAGAACAAACACAAGATTGGATATATAAACCAAACACAACGTGAATTGTCAGTGGGAGTTAAGACAAACACTACAAAACTCCACATACGTGAGGCCTTACACCTGTGGCCGTGCATAATTTAACGACTGAGTCCATAAAATCTGGGTTCTGTCAAAATACAGATACAAGAAGTATTGAGGATTAAAATGCAAGCAAATGAGAATTTCTAAATACTGAATATGACCTAACAGAAAATGAAAGTACTTGATTGAGGCTTCTGTATAGTACCAACATGAAAACATGACTTCCCAATATAATCTAAACTGGGTGGAGTTGTTGTTTTCTGATTTCCACTTCAGTGATGGGAGTCCAGATGGGAGAAATGTCCAACGTGAGTTGACTGACCAAAAGAGCTACCAGAGATATGGGCAGATTGCTTGTATTTCCCATAGGGGGTGTTTGGTTCAGTTTGCATGACGGTCTTTCCTGCACCCACTTAAGAGGTTTCAGTTAGTATTGGAATGAGATTTGACTTTCCTTGGACCTAGAGTTATAAGCATTTTAGTGAATTAGAACAAGGGGCTACTTAAGGAAAACATACAATTTCAGAATTCTCTATGCAATTAATGGACACAGGAAGGTGAAACTTCATATATATCACTTCTTAAGAAGACCATACAAGCTTGCAGAATTTTTATTACAGTCTGAGGTAGAATTTTCCTTCTAAACTGCGTTGATATGACATGGAATGAGTCGTTTCTACTGTTGAGTAATCATTTTTGTCCATAAGAACTCTAGCTACAGAATCTCATATGTAACAGTCGCATTTACTGAAGAATGATGTAGTAATTTGTCTTGTAGACTTAAAGTTTGTCTAGGCCTTGTGGAAAACAAAGGGGAGAAACAGCCATGTTACTTTACTTAATAGTTTTTGTTGATTATTTGATAGTGTACTAGAGTAAATTCAGCTATACCTCCACTTCCCCATGTCGTCATGGCATATACTTGCAATTGTTTTATTTTGGTGTAGGAGGCTGTTGATTTTTATATTGGCCAAAAGGATACAGCTATCAGATGTTTGTATCACTTGGTACCAAACATTGTAGTGTAGTGGTTAATATTCCTTTTTTATTATTGGAAAGTCCTGGCTTAGAGCCATGGCCACTGTACCAATGATCCTGAGGAGTTTCACGACTTTTTTTCAGCCCCTTTAGGCAAAGTGGTGGGATTGTACCCCTTAAATAGGTCACAGTTACTTCTGTGTCCTTCAGGGTTCTTTATAATTTTCATCTCATTTGATGCTGATTAGCACATACAGTTGAAAAGTAATCATTAAATAGGAATAAAGAAAGTAAATGGAACACTTTGAAAAGTGTGAAACTGTAAGTTTTCTGTACATATCTCTCAGAAGATGTTCATTACAAATGTTCAGTTGATATGAAACTTCCCTTAGTGATGGTATAATTATAATGAATTGTTGTATCAAATGGGGATAATATGGTTGTCATCTTAACATAACTGGTCAAAATGACATGTTCTCCACTTGTTTGTCAGAAAAGAATGACATTTATGCTGCTAAGAAGGAAGTTACACTCATGGATACTGTATGGCACCATAAGATACATTAACCACAACATTCGCAAGAGCAAAACAGGACACTGAACTGTAAGCAAGAAGAAAGGGTGTGCTTCACACTGGAGTACACAGAGCTTCCAAAAGCATTCTTTAAGAATGCAAGGTCTTTTGGTAAGGGAAGTTTGTACTTCAGAGTCAGCATTTTAAACAGCTTATATTGGTTTGCAGCTGTTTTGTTTTTTAACGAGCTCTTTGATGTCTGTAAATTACTTTTTGGCTGTGACATGTTATTTTTTAATTGGCTTAATGAATTAAAATAAACTTTGTATCGCATTCCATACTACTACTTCAAGGAATATTCTTTGATTGGATGTGTACTTAACAAGTTTTTTTTGTTTCCCTAGTAGTAGCATGTCAGTTGCCTGAAAATCTCCTTTATTTGCTTTAGTAAAGTCTTTCCAAATTTAACACAAATCCATCCATCCAAGTTTTCAGAAGTTGAAATTTGTAACAGGTGGAGGCAAATAGTCATTATGTATTGTTAAATTTTTAAGTTACATTTGAGAAATTCCACCAAAACGGGAATTATGGGGAAACAATGTTCCTTTTGTGTATCAGCACATCACGACAGTAGGAATTGTGATTCAGATTGCATGCTTTCATTGTAAAATGGAGCCTTGTGATTAAACATTTGAGAGACACATTTCATGGATGAAAATGATAGAAATGTGCTGCTATGTAGATAAGAAACATTAGGTCACAGGAACTGTATTTGGAAAAATTATACCTTAAGTTATCACTGTGAAACAGACTTTAGATTCCATTTTCATACCAGTGCAATGTGCGGCTGTGATACCACAGTAGTGAGTCAGACCCCCATTAGAAAATTTATAGTCTATGTAGTCAAGAAATGATTGTATTTTACTGTACATCAGAAAGAGAAGTACAGTTCTTTGTTGTTGCAAGGTACTATATGGCAATGTAAGAATGAACACACATAATTTACGATTGTATTTTAAAAGTTTAATTGAAGAATAGAGAAAGAAATCATTTTGCATTTTTATCAGGAATGTACATTGTTGAAGACATCTGTGATTGGATACTGAAGGCATTTTGGTCTTCTGATCGTACATAAATGATTGCAGTGAACTTCCTAGAAAGATTAGTACACGTGTAGGTCACAATTTTCTGCATTGTCCAAGGCTGAAATTCAGTATTTCAGAGCTCAGATGCTTAAAATTGACAAAAGTTGACTGTCTTAAAATCTCTCTCAGGTTGCAAAGTCTCCAAAACTCAGGAGACCCAGAGGAATTTGTTAAAATGAATGATCCAGAATTTGAAATGTCCCATGGTCTACTATGCTAGAAGATCTGTCCTTGGGTATTACGTATTTGGGATAAACTTTGTACAGCATATTAGGAAGAAAAGCAGTCCTCAGCATTGCTAAGGAGTGGATGTAATCATGCACTTTCCATCTGTCCACAATTAAGCAGAGATAGTGCTAATTTTATAATTCTTTCTGTCCATGCTTGAAAATGTCCATATAAGAAATGTGAATTGTCCGGATAAGCATGTATGTTTCAATACTGAAGTCTGACCATGATGGAAGTGTAAAAAAGACTACTATGAAATGTCATTCTTAAACTGGAAATTTGAGGTACATTTGCAAGATGTTTCATTGAAGATGTTATTTATATTGAAGGGATGCATAAACTTACTACAGTCCTGCTACTCTGATCCATCAGAATTAAACTGAACTACTGTATTGACAAGTTTCACTGGCCCAATTATTATAAATGCATTTGTGTAGACAGTCAGGATAAGGGAGTAAAATTTCTTATGTATTTAAAGCATAAATGCTGACATCACTGTAATTTTACTGCAATATTATTGATCACAGGGAATTTTCTGGATGTTTGAGTGTGAAGGAGTTTAGCTCAGATGTGTGTTTTTAGCTTTATGTGGTTTGTAAAAAGAAACTCTTCTACCTTTCACAGCATCAGACGGAGATTTTTTGGGAGGACTTCTTACATTGTCATTTTCATTTCCAGCATTCAGCGAATTCCATCTTAATTGAGAAGGAAAAGTGAATATTCCATTGGTATACTCAGATTTTAGGACCATTCTTTATAAAATTGAATCCTTGCAGGCATCTTAGTACTTGTACTACCATGAAATCATACCCTTATATGTCATCATAGTTCACTGAATAGATGAACATTAGCTGTCTGCTTATCGTAGGCTTTTGTTCAGTGTAAGCATGAATATTTTATAGATTCATGTCAACATGCCGTGCCCATCAGCTCCTGAATCCTTTGGTAGTTAATGGGGAAATTTGGTATCAAAAACTTAAACTCTGGGTAGAGAATTAAGTGTTTTAAAATTATTGGCCAGTTTGAACTGACATTTTATTGAAGACTAAAACATTTAACATTATCTTGACAAATACAAATGAAACCGAAACATTTAGAAAGAGAGGTTACATAACCAATTGTGACATTTTATGATGAATATACTATATTATAATACAACTTTCTGTTTATTTTGAGGTAAAGCTGTCACTTTGTATTGTTTGAAATTCATACTAAAATTTCTATAAACATAAACCTTATTAGTCTCTGGATGTACGTCACTAACATTTGTCACTTCATTGTATACTGGAGATATACCACAAGTTTCATGTCGTCGTGCTGTATGGCCAGTTCCATATTTCACTGAAGTCTGTCAAAGGGTTCAAACGCTTGAAAATATGATGGATGTATATATTTTTCATGTTAGGTCCATATTTTTTATGCATGCATACAGATTACCAAATACTGAAACTTACTGAGCGGGCTGGTATAACAGTAATGCACTTAGGAGGCACTCCTTTTGAATCTTCCTGGAACACTGGTTCTCCTGACTGAGGCTTTTCTGTGGTTTTCCTCAGTCCCTCCAGGCAAATATCAAAGTGCTGCCTCAGTTTGGCCATTACCACTTCCTTCCAAGTCCTTTCCAATTCATTATTCACCAGTCTGACCATTTGATATGTAGTGTTAGATACTGACAGCATCATAAAATAAACCACAAAAAAGGAAATAATGAAAAATTCATTAATATTTATATGGATATGACCACTGAATATTCATTAGAATATTGGATTTGGGAAATGTGAGAGAAGATTTAAGTTGCATTGTATAAATCATATTACTTACCAACTTTGACATGTGTGACAGAAAGGTAAATGTGGGCTGGAAGGTATGCAGATTGCAAGCAGTAGTAGAAAGGAGGTTTGTACAGACTTAAATAACAAACTTCAGTATTAGGCCACTGGACAAAATCTGAAGGTAGAACATACCACAAGAAAAATTGGTAAAATAAAACATACAGTGATGTATATATACATTATGCTTGGGCAACAACAGGATTTGTTGAGAACTTCAGAATTGAAGATGATGAATAAATGGCCACTGGAAAGATATATTTAGTAGGATAAGGACAGAGTGGAGGCAGGTTATGGTTAGTTTTGTAATGTAACAGCAGCGTTCAAAGAGAGATGTGAATCCAGTGTAGCATAACCACAGTCTTGAGTTTCAGATAATTCTTTGAAGAACGCATGTGCATGTATGTTTTAAAGTGATGTTTTTAAGGCTTCAGATTTGTTCAGTAATTCGTTAGTTCCTTCATTATGTTCATTGTTACATTTGTAAATTAGAGTTGTACGATTGAAATTCGTCCTTCAGTGTTATAATGCCATGTTTAGAAATTTGGTTTTGAGAACAACACAAGGGTAATGGCATATGATTGGAATTTGAAGCACTTCTGTGAATCAAGTACTGTATCACATACTTAAATTAAATTTTACCACAAATTGATAAGAGAATGCATGTAATGTCTTCACATTCCTGCATTAACTAAGTTGAATATTCCAGTCTTGAAGCAAGATGTTAAACAAATGACAGAGAAGAGCTCATGGGTGTAAAAGATGTATGGCTGTATTGTTTGTGGCGTTTTATGATGATGGAACATTAACATTGAAGGTTTTGACAATGCAGAAGTTTCAAAAGGGGGTGTAATTCGAGAAGAGAGAATTTTTGTTCAATATGAGTAAATCTTGGTAAAAGGTAAACCTGTTTGTCTTGATGACAATGGAAGTGAAGGGAATGAATATTGTATTATTATCACTATAGTAATTTCACTTCTTTTATCACCCCAGTAACAAGTCACTTTATTGATTGAGCCAGCCCAGCTCATTGCATAACAATGAGTTCCAGGAAGAACTGATGACCTGCTTTCCTTTGATATGGCACAGACCACTTAGAAAACGCCCAGTCCAGCAGTTCTTTTATTATTACATGTGTATTCATTGGTGCAGGAACTTGTTTACTAGTCTATTGCCTAGCAGCCAAGCCATTGCATAGCAACGATAGGAAGATGCACACATAGACATGGAAGACTGGCTAACAACAGAGGAACTGTTGGAGATAATGTTTTCTCTGTGGTCTGACACAAAGTTGTATAGAGAGGACAACTCCCTGCTCAGAAATTACCTGACCTGACTGACTTAGGACCCTGGTTATAAGTCAGTTACAATGCACAGAAACCAAAGAGTTGGAAGACTTAATTACTGAGTTGTTGCATAGCAACGGCCATGTCTGCACCATTTCTCTGACTGCACGGTTCCAACTTTCAGGCGGCATGTCACATGCACCTAATATGTTTATGTGGTATTGTAATGGTCATCTCTTCTGGCTCTACTATTCTGACTTTCAGGAGTTAGGGAGATGCACAGACATACAAGACACACATCAAGGTGATCTCATAGTCCTCCTCTTATTTTTTTTTAAATAGGAAAATAGGCTAAAATAAATGGTTCCTTTACTGGTATCTTCTGACTTTATGAAGAATAAAATCACGGGGCAGCTGATTTTAGTTGGTATTTGAAAAACGGTACTCAGTTCTCTGACCACTGAACTTCATAGCATTACATCCCAGAAGACCTAGACTTATATTTATGGCTGTGATAATGTCAAATCTCACACAGTAATCCTGAATGAAGAGGCTGCTCTACTTACACTCTGAAGATGGAGGCTTCAGGTTCCCAAAAAATATTGATATCTGCAAAATTACACAGCATCCCATCCCAGAAGACCATAATATCTGAATTCCACTTTCAATAACCACACAATGTAGAGACTGTGTTCATATACATGGTCTGATATTGGAATCAGGTGCTTTGGAATGCACTGGTGTAAAAGCAAAGGTGGAGTAGGAGAAGTTCTATATGTATGAGCCCACTTGCAAGTGTTTTCAGCTTCAGCAGTCATTTCTGTTGATTTTTTTTGTCCCCAACAAAGCCTATTGTGCAGTTGGAACAAGTTTTTAGGCAGGAATTTGGTGCACTGAGACATGGAAGAATTCCAAAGTGGGATACATTTTTAAAAAGGGTGAATAATTTTCATGTTCATGCAACTTCAAGATTTGTCCAAAGTATACACTCAGTTCACAGACCAGAGATCATTTAAAGAGTGTAGCAGAGTCTGTCCCACTCAGCTTTGTAGCAATCATTGCCCTTCAAAATTTCAAACACTACTCTTCAGCAAATTTTGCACAAAAATTTGAGTTATCACCCGTACAAAATTGAAATCATTCAGCACCTAAGGGACTGGAATAAAGTGACATGCCAAAGTTTCTGTTTTTGGAAATTCTGGATAATGATGTACATATGTTAAGTTTGTTGATGATGTCTGATGAGACCCATTTTGACTTCAGTGTACATGTTATTGAGCAAAATTTGTGGTACTTGGCTTGAAGGGCATCCCATAAATCTACATGAACAGCAGTTGGAATTCTACCATGCCTTGCGCATCAAATTGTAGCCAACAAATTCTTATAGTTGAATATGTTGTGTCAGTTATGTTTCCATTTCACCCCATTTAAAGTCCTTGTAACATATATGAGCCGGGTGGTAATCACTATGCTGGAACAAATTTGCAACCAACTTATATGCTTTACTGTCATAATGTTAGGGACTTGGCTCCATGAGTTGCTGTTAGAAATTTGCAGAGCATGTTTGATTTGAGGTCCTTGGGGCTGTGCGTGAATATTACATTCTTCTGGAATGTGACATGATGTAGTTTGGAAGATACCTGTCTACATCTATAGAACTACATAGTACATCCAGTAACTTGTAGAGCAGTCTGTCAGTTCAGGCTGTTCACATTGACCATCTCTTGAGCCTGTTCTACCCATCCAGAATACAAACAGGCAGAGGTTTGGAAGTGACCGGAGAATGACAAATTAAAGTTTTTGTATTCTCTCATGTTTCCTTAATAGTGTTATTGTCAACATTTTAGTTTTCTTTCATATCTCCATTGGAATTGGATGGTGGTACTATATTGGCATTTGGGATCATGTTATGCAAAGAACTATTTAGATGTGTTTTTGTAGATGATGCCACGTCTGGTAGTTTCACAGTGGTAATGAATGTCAAAGAATAAGGGGAATTGAGAGAATTATTACTCTTGTTGGATGCGTTGTTCACTTTATTGTGATTTCACTGAACATGCATGAATGCATCTTGTAAAATATGTACATTATTATTTATATGCATGTGTTAATTCATTAGGGATAATTTTGAAGTGTGAGCAGAATACACGTGAGCACTTCATTATATGTAATATATACTTAACTAATATCATTTGTTATATGCTTTGTGTTGTTTGTATGTATTGTGACTTTTAATTTCCTTGTGCTTGCATCAGCTTCAAATTATTAAACTTTCTCATCTGGAATTCAGGAGCATGGGTCAAAAACCACAGATTGGTGTGACTTATCAAGGATATCATTTGTATCTGAAAGCGATCCGTTCCTAACAAAGGGTTATTGACACTGCACTGCCTTAAATGTCTTAAGTCATGCATGCAGACTATATGAAAAAGGTAAGCATTCCTATGGTATGTTTTAAATTATGTGCATTTTGTTGTGTTTAACCACCTCTGTGTTATATCCTTCATTTCACGTGACTTCACTTGTGGTCCAGTGGTTGTGGATGTGGTACACAGTGAATTGTTACAAGTAGGGAGTAATTATGCAGTGAAATGTGTAGCATCATGTACAAGATAGTATTAGAAAGGGAACATTTTTATATGAGAAGTCTGTTGTGGAAATGATTACTGGGCTTACTATGTGATACTTCATTTCCACTTGCAACAGATGTTGGGCTAGATGGCTGCATAGCTGCATTGTTCATAGATGCTGAGGTAGCATTGTAATTGTGACAGGTTTTGATGTCTTTGCAAAACTTGCTGATAATGACAGTTTAGACAAAATTAATAAGACATCTGCAGCACACAGAAATTGGAATTTGTAGACACTGCTACTAATTTCGACTATTGTTTCTATTTTCCATTTTATTTTCATGGCTTGTTGACTTAAGTGAAGTATGATGTACAGATGCTTCTGATACAGTGATGGGTTAACACACAAATAAACAATACAGGGCACTTGAAAGTACATTCTCTCTTTACAATAATAGCAGTACGTAAATAAATTGAAGATTCATTATACTGTAGTAACTACAGTACATACACTGGAAAATAAAAGAGTGGAAGAAAAATTGGTAAAAAATGTATAGGTTCTTACATGGGGACTTTGTTTGAAAGCCTGCCACAAATCTTTTGGCCTGTCGAATGGGAGGGACACATGCTACCACATGTGCCATACACTTGCCACAGTTGACAGGCCTGTAGCCTATACACATCACAATTTCTCTCCAGGATTGCTCCAATAAGTTTTTGGACAGCTACCGTGAAGTGAGCTTGTTTATTATGTGCTGGTTATCCCATGCCACTGCTGCATTAAACATTGTCATTTATATTGCTTCATATGTTAAATGTCACATGACAGTTGCACATTGAAAGAAATGTTCATCTGCTATGCTTGTATGAAAAGTAAGGAGAAGATTTTGCCATAAGCTTCGGGATAAATTGATTCAGAGACATTGCACATAGTTTCTCATATATGATTGACCCTGAATAAGTTACATTGGAAATGAAATTGATTGTCCCTCAGTAGACTATTGGTACTTATTGAATAGTGAACAACAGTTAGTAGTGTTGAACTGGTAAGCCAGGTTTGACAAAATCAGCATTTCACATTTAGGCCCCTATTGCACATACCATTGTTTTCCAGAAGATAACATCTATGCAGTTTTACATAGGGAGATTGTCTCCATAAATTACTAAAATTTAATCTGAATTGTTGGAGCTGTGTTTGAGAAAATAATTTTGTGTTGGGGGTGGGGGCAGTCATATGAAGGGCCCAATTTTTGGAGCTGGAATCTTTATTATTCGCCTGGCACTGGCTTATGATGGGTACTCTCTTCAATACCAAACATGAATAAAATTGCAGGATTTTAGGTTCTAACAGCGGTGGTTATCAAGTGTACTATCTATATCAGCGATGGCCAACTGGCGGCCCATGGGCCGTATCCGGCCCGCAACCTGATTTACTCCGGCCCCCCGCCAAGTCTCAGGTTTATTTTAAAAAATCTTAACTTCACAGCTGTATTGGCATAGAATTCAGTTTTTAATAGGATGTTTCATTAGCTTACAGCATTTTGCAATTGACTGTATACGTTCTTACCGAGTTGGACAGTTCAAACTGTTTTCTAATAACTGTGTTCATGTCATGGAAATTCCAAGTCCCCCAACCCTACTTCTGCAGGGAGATGACACTGAAGGAAAGACCGTAGTGGTGAAGGATTTATGACGCCTTCAAAATAATAACCATTCCCAGCTTGCTCGCAAGGATGGGATGTTTGCCGTTTCTCTCGGCATCCTGGCCTTTGTTAAGTGCCAGTTTTAGCAGAAATGTCTTCCAGTTAGTGCGATTTTAGAAAGTGAAGTGTGAATATGGAGTGTGAGTGTAGAACTGTTTTTCAATTAAAATTGTGTTTGAAGTTATTTTAAGTGATACAGCATGTCAAATAGTAAATTGAGAAAAGTTGATGGTGAAACTAGGGCATTCAAATCTGAGTGGGAACATGACTATTTTTTTATATTAAATAAAGACCTCAAGCCACAGTGTTCAGTATGTTTTCAAGTGCTAGCAGTTTTAAAGGAGTACAACCTAAAGAGGCATTACATGACAAATCATAAACATAAGTACGGAAAACACTCTTGTGAATCAAGGAAAGTAGTCTGCGATCAGTTAAAGAAAAAACTTTTCCAGCAGAAATCTCTTTTTACCAATGAAACAAAACAACAAGAAGAAGCTTTGCTGGCTTCTTATTTCGTGACATATGAATTAATGAAAGCTAAAAAAGCGTTAAGTGATGGTGAATTAATTAAGAACTGTGCGATAAAGATGGCAGAAGCTTTCAATGAAAATAAGGTAGGAAACAAATTTCAAACAGTGCCCCTTTCAAAACAGACTGTTACTAGGAGGCTGGAAGATATTAGCAACCAGATATCTAATAATGTGAAAGACATTATCGCTAATTGTTCCTATTTCTCAATCGCTCTCGACAAAAGCATAGATGTTTCGAATACTAATCAGTTGCTGATATTTGTTCGTGCAATTAAGGAAGATTTTACAATTTTCGAAGAGTTGTTACAAGTGTGCTCTTTACACAGCACAACTAGAGGTGTCGATATTTTTAACGCTGTTAAGAGTGCAGTGGAGGAATTCGGTGGTTTTGAAAAATTGTCCTCCATAGTAACAGATGGCGCTAAATCAATGACAGGGACAATAAGCGGTTTTGTTGGATTTTTAAGACAGAATCAAATTACTGTACCTACCTTGCATTGTATTATACATCAGGAGGCTCTATGTGCCAAATCAATTAAACTGTCTACCACCATGGCTACTGTCACAAAAATTACTAATTTGATCAGAGGAGGAAATCGATCACTCACTCACAGAAAATTTCTGACCCTCTTGGAAGAAATGGATTCTGCTTACGGGGACCTGCTTCTGCACACTGAAGTAAGATGGTTAAGCCGTGGGAAATGTCTGGTACGGTTCTTTGAACTCCGTCATGAAATAGCAACATTCCTAAGAGAAGAGGTTACGAATTCTGCTGAACTGCAGAATGATCTCGAAGACGTCGAATTCTTGAGAAACTTGGCCTTTCTCACTGATATCACTCAACACTTGAATGTCCTGAATCTGCAATTGCAAGGCAAGAAGCAGACAATATGTCAGATGGTTGGCTTTGTTGACAGTTTCCGTAAAAAGCTACATTTATTTAAGTCTGCATTGGACAAAAATAACCTTCTACATTTCCCTTGCTGTCGGAAACTCTCAGAAGAAGAAGAAGAAGAAGGCATGGAGTTTAGGGACTACACTGAAATTATTGAAGATTTGTCTTCAGAGTTCGACGATTTAACGATTTTGAAAGCTTTCAACCTGATATTTCTTTATTCAGTAATCCTATACATTGTGATATAGAATCTCAGCCAGGTCATCTGCAATTAGAGCTTTGTGAACTTCAATGTGACCCATCCTTAAACACATCTCAGGTTACTGGAATTGACTTTTGGAAACTGCTTTCACCAGAACGTTACCCACTGTTACGAAATAGGGCTCTCAAACTTTGTTCTGTTTTTGCAAGTACTTACATATGCGAGACAGCGTTTTCATCGCTGAAGCATGTAAAGTCTAAGAACAGGAACAGACTTTCAGATGTCGTGTTATCACATATTCTTCGAGTGGCAACCTCACAATTAGAAGTGGATTTTATATCATTGGTTTCCAGTTTTATGAAACCACAGTGCTCTCATTAAAACAGTGTGTATATGAGGATTTAGGTATAATCATTAGACCATAAAAACTATGATTGAAAGCCTTTTGTGCTCATCCCTGCTGAAAGAGGAATTTGTGCTGTTTTATGGTAAGTAATTGCAAATTTCAAGGCATTTTATTTTTCTTTCTTAAATTATAATTGCATTTTTCCCCAGCATATATAAAACTAAACATAAGGCATGATCTGGCCAGTGTTTCTTTAAGAAAAAATGCTCTGGGGATAGAAGTGATAGAAGGCAATAAAATCGATTGGTGAAATTTTCAATATCGGCTTAATATTATTGGTGCAACGTAAAATTTAAATACATAGGTTTAAATGCACTTGTTTTTACACGTGTTGTGACTGATTCAGTTTGGGTGGCAATACTCGCCGACAACTCTTCGGAAAGAAACACTATATCTGGCCCCTGATGGTGTTCTATAAACTAAATTTGGCCCTCGAGATGTATTAGGTTGGCCAACGCTGATCTATATAATGCCATGTAGTCCATTGAAAGTAAACCAGTGTTTCAGAGGAGCATATTGCCTCCATCATCAGGGTCAAAAAATAAGCCAAGCAAGAAACCATTGTGAATGCAAGTGTCAGCCTAAAGATGAATAAAATTCTTTCCAACCATTTATGTACTAGCAGGGCACACACATATATGTACATGCATACGCACACAAACACACTATGTGCTTGCGATTATCAGAATTGTACACTCCAAAGATATTCAAACTACCCAGGACGGAGCCACTTTCAAACTGTTAAACGAGGAATATTTCGGGTTAATTATTTTGATGTGGAAGACAGTATAGTTTACAAGTAACGGGTTCATTATGGCTGTGCACAAATTTTATCCATGAGAAGTATTGTTGGAGAATTCATCGAAAAAGAAATCTGCCGATCAGTGTATCAAGCAGCAAGCCATCATTATACAGCTAAATCACAAGTTGGCTGCGCCATAGCTCAAGCGGTTAGTCGCTAGCTTCCCACTGCAGCGGCCCAGGTCCAATCCCACGTCTGGTCAAGTGGGATTTGTGGTGGACAAAGTGGCTCTGGGGCAGGTTTTCTCTGAGTACTTCAGTTTCCCCTGCCAATCTTCATTCCACTAGAAGTGGCTGCAGTACAAGGGACGTAGTCCCACCCCAC